TTTTTGTGACGTACACAAAAAACTAAATGAATATATACAGATGATTTTTTGGCTTCAATTATTGTTTTTCATTTCGTGTGATTATAGTTTGGGGGTCGTTTAAATGTGACGTCGATTATTTTTGATTTTGAGATAAGAGCTTTTGATTATTTTTTTTAAATTTTATTTCAGAACGGGGGTGCATAATTAATTTCTATGCAAACTTGAGCACAGTTTTACACCCTTGGATGCAGATAATTAGGTGCTTTTGTAAGAGAAGGGGTCTAAAACTATGTTTCTTTGGAACCTCAAATTACATTTCAATTAATCACATTGATAAGGTATGCGGCCTCAAAAAGCTTGGGGATGTGCGGATACAGAAGAATTTTAATAAAATTCAGGAAGCCTTCGTGAGGGAATCAGGAAGCAAAAATAAAACAATATATCACTACACATCACTATTAAATGACTCTCTTAGGTATTTGTAAATGTTTCTCAAATTGAAGCTCACATTGACAAATTTAAATAAATAAATACAAAGGAGTAAGTGAGTGAGAGCACTAGCGGCAGACGAATGAACAAAATAAAAGAGAAATATTATTGCATTGGAATGATTATTATTATTCTGTCATTTATCGGATTGCAGCTCACGATAGTTTTATATACAATAAGCTTTAACAATATAGAGCTTGCGAATCACATAATTGCAATTTAACGGAGATGCTGCTTGCTTTCTGCTGTTGAGTTATTAACATAAAGCCATATATCACTCAAATTTTTATTTTTTTATCACTTTTCATGCTACTTTTTTTTTGTTGTCATTTATATTTCTCTCATGCTGACGATTATTATTCTTATTCTGCATTCATATAATAATTCAGTCAATTTAAATCTATGTAGTTAAGTACTGAATGATTGTTTATAAAATAAAGTGCGGTCGTAGCTTCTACAGAGTGAGAGGAAAAAAAAAGTTTTTATTTTTATTTTTTTAAAAACATTTAAACGTTCTGCTTATTCATAACTTAAAATATTGTCACTTGAACATGAACAGCAGCAAAAAAAAAATTATTATATTTCCTCGTTGCTTCCACAAATTGCAACCTTTTTCTATTTCATTTTTTTATATATATATTATATTGAGCCTCATAAGCACTTCACAAAAAAATATAGTTGATTTATTATTATTTTTTTTCAGTTCCTTTTCTTATGGACTGTGTTGTTCATGGAAGCCCAAAATTTTTTATCCTTGAATTTTTTTTTATTCCATTTCCCTTGTACAAGAAAAAAAAAATCATCAATAAAAAATATTTTACCAACGACACAATATTTTCCACGTAATGTACGGCTGAAAAACTAGAATGAACTGGGGAACCAAGATATTTTTCATTAGAAATTTTTTTACATACTTGCAAAACGAATGAATGAGCGAGTGGATGAGCGGGAGAGAGTCACAAATAAAATGAGAGTCATCGAGTAACTCTCAAAAATTATTTTGTCTGTAATCACTTCCTTTTATTCAGTCTTTGAGATATAAAATGCTGTCAGTTTTTTTTTCTTCCTTTACATATCGTTTACAGCTAATGATTTTCCCTCGGAATAATGAAAAATTTTTAATCGCACTTAAGGAACGAGACTCATCATTATAAAATATGTACGCATATAAGCTTTGACGCCTTAACAGATTAATTAATGATTTTTTTTTTATTTTATTTTCTCCTACACATGATTCATAATACACCGATTGCCGTACGTACGGACAGTCATAACTGACGATTTTTCCCTTAAAAATTATTTCGTCAAACGAACGCGCATTTTATTTATTATCGATCTTATATAAATATGATTATTATTATTACTATTTAATATACTTATATAGCCTTGCTATAATTAGGAATTTATTTTATTTTGCCGCTGGGATATACGTTTATGTACTGTTTTATGGAATGCTTTATTAAGCAAGTTTTTGGGGTTCTTCTTCGAAACTTTTCTCAGACATAGATATTATCAATTTTAATCATAAGACATGTATCGTTACTGAATATTAGGAAATGAGATGAATTATTGGAAAATTATTTGATGCTTCATAAATTTGATCTGAATCTTGTTGCTTAAAGTTTTGTGAATTTGTTGATTTCGGTTAATTACTTAATATTTTGTCTTTTCTTTTGGGAATTGCAATTTATCATTAGCTTGGTCCAGGGGCGTAGCCAGGGGGAGGCCATAGGGCCCCCCCCCCCCCTACGAAAAACTGATAATTGTTTTATTAAGTATTTATACAGAAGAACCAGTTAATGTAGAGGAAGAGAGGAAAGAAATGTCAAAATCAGCACGAAAAATTAAATTTAATGTATGAATAATGAATTAAATATTTAAACTTATGAAGAATGAATATAGATTTAAGGATACAAAATAACGGTTTTTTAATTAACGAAAATGGGCCCCCCCCCCCCCCCCCGTTAAAAATTTTCTGGCTACGCCCCTGGCTTGGTCAAATGTAATTAGGAATAGCTATACAACAATGTTCAAATTTTTGGTTTGTTCATATTCAGTGTAGCTAGAGTCAGTTTATCCGCGGATACTTTTACCATAAATCCCAATTTGTCATGGATGATCGAGAAACGAAACCCAAGAGTTGTCTTTTTAAGTTTTGACCATTTTTGATCTGTCTCATACTCTTGGCAATAGCTAAGCCTCTCTTATAAAAACCCAAAAACAACTACCTGCCTCCTCTACAAAGAATCCTACCTTAACAATTATTAATAAATCATGAATCCTTAGAAAAATCACACTTATCAACAAAAACCAATATCAGTACAGTGAAATTCTTGAATTTACGTATGCCTCATATTTGTTCCTTTATCATACTACATGCTTCATACTTCACTTGAGAATTTTTGATAAAGGTAAAAAAAATTTCAGATCGTAAATTTTATTTAAAATGAGAAATATCGTTTAAACAATGGTAATGCTTTACGATTATTTCACAGAACAAACGAAATCATCAAATGCTTTTGAATACAATAATAAAACAGGAACTGAATGGAGGGAGAGCATGAAAATCCTAACGATCGCTGGAGAATATATGAAATCAATCAAAAAACCCGTGTTTTATTGATTTATGTGATTTCAAGAGGATTTACACATAAATCAATAAAGCATATACGTGAAAAAATACCTTTTGTTTTCAAAAGTGCTTTGGAAGCAACTTGTACAGCATGAAATGTGTTTAAATAATGACATAGCTTTTTATTTTATTCTTAATGAAGCTTTGTGATTCTATGAAAAACTTTTAAAGTGATTTTGTAGAAGGATTAAGCATAGAGTAAGGTTTTAGAGATGTTGAAAATTATTGAAAAAAATTCAAGTCTTTTTTAATCTGATGCCTAGCTAAATTATTGATTTAAAAAACATCCAACCCCCCTCCGACCTGTGCTAATGATCCTGCCAAAATCAGGTGTTTTTCGATCATTCCTACATCAAAGAAATCAACGCTGACATTTTCACAGCAAGCAAATGATTCCGTAGATAAAAAGACAAACTGGCATATTCGCAGGACATAAATTTTAAGCTACAAAAGTGAGATTTTTTTTAGATGAAATAAAGCGATTCTTCTGGATATTATAAATAGAAACATAAATTCTAAAATTAACTCAATTTTATTATTTTTTACTTTGCCGTCTTCAACAAGCAGCAAGCATGATGCGGCGAAAAAAAGAATATTTTGTCAAAATCTTAAATGATACATTGATATATTTCACGAGGCGATATTTTTAAAAATTACATAATTAAGGTGGTTGAAGAATCTCTTCTCTTTATTTCTATTTTTATATATAACTGTCTGTCTTCTCTCATCTTAAATAAAAATACTGTTTTATGCATCGCGTGATGAAAGGTTTTGTCACAGGATAGATACAGAAGCATATTTAAAAAGAATTTAATTACCTTACTTATATTTTTCTAACCTTCTCATTTCGTTAATTAATTTATTTGTTTATTGCTGATCTTAAAACTTAAATCATACCTTTTTAATCACGTAATAGGTCATCATTTTTAACACTTTCTGAAAGATTTAAAGGCACTGTGTTAAATTTTCACTAAATTATTGAGTAATGACACTTATTTCCTGTGAAATTTTAATTAAACTTATCTTTGAACACAAATTGAAAAACTTCAAAGCCAACTGAGAAAAATAGAAACTCAACGAAGTTTAAGAATTCGAAAATCGTTCAGTAAACCGACACTTCATTTCAGTTCAGTTCAAAAATTTAAAAATTAAAAAGTCGTTAAAATTTATTGATGCTGGGTTATAAGTCCAGAGATTATAAGTCCAGGTACAAAAATCATGCACAAAAAATTATAAGTCCAGAAAATCAAAGTCATCAAAGGTTTATAAGTCCAGATACAAATTGCACCTGGACTTAAAAACCTCACGTGCAGTTTATAAGTCCAGGTACAAATACAGCTGGAATTATAAACTGCACGAGAGGTTTTTAAGTCCAGGGGGCCGTTCACTTATTACGTTACGCAAAAAAACGACTTTTTTCACCCCCCCCCCCTCCCCCCCTTGTTACAATATGTTACAACTCACACCCCCCCCCCCCCCCCTGAACGTTTATGTTTTTGGTGTGAATTTGTAAACAAATTTTTTTCGTGAACTTTTTTTTGAAAGACAGACTACAGTTTGAACGTTACATATTTCTTGACACCCCCCCCCCCCTGATGTTACAATTTTTAAACCCCCCCCCCCCTCCCCCCTAAAATGCGAACGTAATAAGTGAACGGCCCCCAGGTACATTTTATATCTGGACTTATAAACCTTTAATGACTTTGATTTTCTGGACTTATAGTTTCTGGACTTATAACCCAGCATCAAATTTATTGCTGAAAAAAAATGAAAAGGAAAATGATTTAAGAGTTTAATCTTCCCCACGTGAAAACACTTGCTCTATTTAGCGCTGTCGCATGAATAAGAAGAAAATGAAATCTGGAAAATCTGATTTCGGTATCTATTTTTATTTTAATTAAAATTTAAATTTGTAATTTTCAACATCAATTTTCTCGGACATCTTTCCTTGTTGCCTAATTTCAGTTTGTCGTTTTAGTAAAAGGTCAAGATATTTTCTATTTTCACTATCACTAAGAGGTATATTAAGTTCTAAAAACAACTGTACAATTTGCGTTGCTGCGGATGAATTTTTTCGCCAAATTTCAAAAGCCAAATATAACTTTAATGTCTCAACAACGTTCGTCCTCATCTTATATCCGAGGAATATCTGAACTAATTTATTGACTAGATCAGTGTTATTATTCTGAAAATATCCAAAGCACAATTGCTTTGATCTTGACGCGAGCATTTTTCTAATTTCCAAATGATTTGCTATAAGTCCCTCCGCTGTTTGTTGATCAGAAAACCAGAAGCTGTTATAAAAATAAGTTTTTATCGCATTAATATTGGAATTATTAAAAAAACAACATCACAAAATTGATTATTTAACATTTTTGGGGTATCTTTTTAAAACGAAAGTGCTATTGTCTGCCTCAGTACCTCTATCAATACCTTCATTAAAGTTTGTAAATATTTACAATCACTTTGGAAGAATCATAAGCAATTAAAATGGCAACAATAGGAAATTATTTCAATAGACTCATAATCCCTGACCTTAACGGATTTTTCAATGCCTTGAAATCTACAGCATGTGACTAATCTCATGATATACGGAGAAATAATAATCTCTTGACTTGTTTTTATTTTCACTCGTCCGAAAGTAATCGATTGAGTCACATACCTATACTTCGATTATAAAAAGCTACTGTCAAGTTTCGGAGCTTTTGAATTTTAAACTTAGGTATGAAAAATGTCAAATTTTGGATAGGTATTTGAAAGTCGTTAGAATTTGAATTTTTGAATAGCGTTAAAGTATGAATTTTTGAAAACCGTTTAAATTTGAGTTTTTCAGCGCTCTCAACTTACGGATTTGGAAGAGCCATAAAATCCAATAATATCCACACAAAAGAAAATTAATTTGATCAATTTCCACTTCAATTAAAATCGTTAACAACCACCATTAATAATAATATCCACAAAACAAAAGCACTTTCGTCGACCAACCACAAAATATAAAAAATCATTTTATCCCATTTAATTCCCACAGCACTCGTTCCATCGTACCTCTCAAATAAATTTTTCCACAATAAATATAATGCCTCGAAATTATCCGTTTGAAAGCAAATTCGCTCAAAGGAATTTTTGATATTAACCACAGCAGATGAGCCATGCTTCGATAAAATCTCCTCCAATAAAGCCTATCCAAAAAAAAACAATCGTTATTAATTAAATTATAATTTAATTTATTTTATTGATGTATGCGCAATTACCTGAATGGTGATTTTCATTTTATTCAATAGCTCGTCATTTGTACAGTGATTTATGTAAAGTTCACAGAGGTGCTCAATTAACATTTCCGTGTTCTTGCTTTTATTGTCTCTCCAGATAGACAGCTGATGTAAATACTTAAATAATTCATGATTCTCATCATAATACTTTGGATCAATCTTGGCAAGGACACTCGTAAATTTGACAAAAAAGTTGTGCCTACCTTTCAAGCACAATAGACTTATACATTCATTTCTAAGGCTGATCCACCTAACATGTGTTGTATTTTCATTAATATTATTAATCAATTGTATCAACCTAATCTCCTCTTGATCGTAGAATCTCACATCATCATCAATCTTGTAACTGTCAGTGAATCGAGATATTATTAACTCATTTGACTTGATTTTCTTTAACTTGCTCCTCTCGTGCAGTTTATTAATAAAATTAATTTCTAAGTTATCTAAAATGGAATTTTCATTAAATTTGTTCCTTTATGCCGCAAAATGCTTTATATCACCTTTATTCTCACAAGTATATCTCAAGATCTGTGTGTAGACATTCCATAGTGCAAATGAGTAGACCATTGGACTCTTTGATAAATTAAGACGAAGGAAATTCACAGCCATTGACTTGTAAGTCTAAAATAAGCAGGTACAATTGTTTATTTACTAGTTTTCTTCTTATTACATTCGAATGAAAGTCTACAAAGCGCTTTATGCTTAGTTTATTTTTCAGGTATCTAAATTCTATGTCTTTACTTTTCTAGATTCGATTATAATTAAACATTTTTACTTTACTGGATCTTTTGATTTATTCTTTATTTTGGAGTTGTATATTACTGGAACATGATTCGATGTTTTTAAGGCAATGCTGTTTGAGAAAATCGTCTATTAAAAATTTCATCTACTGCCACTTTCTCGATATTGAAGGATTATTGATCCTGAGATACTGAAAATACTCTTATACATCCTAAAATCGGCTATAATAAACACAATTCACATTCCGGATTTGATTAACTTGAGTTTTTATTGTAGCTACTTAGTAGAATTTAATGACATAAATATTTATGCTGGATTTGCTTTAATTTATTTCTTATTCCATTCCTCCTTTTCTTCGCGCTCTCTTTGGACTTCTTCCAAGTATGGTTCTAAGTATCTGAAATCTGCAAAAGGTATAAAGTTCCTCATTAGTTCAATGTTTATATACATGAACTTAAATCTACTGTAACTAACCTTCCTCATACTTTGTCCATTCGTTTTTGGGCAAAATAGTCTTGGTCATTGAGAGATGTAATGCACGAGTAAGTCTGTAGTTGCGGTCATCAACATATTGCTGTGGCAAGCGACGGAGTGCTTCCTTTACATCATCATTTTCGTAAAGAACATCGTTGTGATGGAGTCCTGCAAAATACTCAGTCTATAACTTACTGATTAACATTAGAAACTATTTATTTTTACCATATTGATTGAATCCAGAAAGATTGTAAGCCCAGCGACCAATATTGGCTGTAAATAAACGTCAAATTAATGAAATTATATATTTTGATCAGACAAATTATGCAATAATTCCTTAAAAATTAATTTTATTGTTTTTATGGATATCTATAGAGTCTAATGACTTCCTTACTGATTTGTCTAGGTCCTTTACGAATAACATAAGACATGATGTAATTAATTTAGTATCTCAGCCCTCAGAAACTCGCGAAATACGCTAGAATTAAATTTTTTACTCAAAATCAGAATCACTGAAATTTTCTCGAAAAACTTTCGAAATCGAAGAAATTTGAACTTTTTATAACCGTTAAACATTTGAATTTCGATGAATCTGTTATGGAATTTAGAATTCCTTTATTTATTACTGAAAATACAAACGAAAACAAAGGGGCCACTTATTACGTTCACTTATTACGTTACGCAAAAAAACGACTTTTTTCAACCCCCCCCCCTTTCCCCCTTGTTACAATATGTTTCATCTCACCCCCCCCCCCCCCCCCCCCCCCCCCCCCCTGAACGTTCATAATTTATTTTATTTTGATAATTTTTTATTCTAAAAAGACGGTTAAATTTCTTTTGTATTTTTTTTCTTAAACATCAAAATACTGTACAGCTAAATAGGTCATGTTTTGATTGATACTATTAGTATTCTCATGAATTATTGGATTGAGATATAAAGCAAAAATTTGTTTTTTTTTTTTGAAGAAAATTCAAAAATGTCATGAAATAGATTATGCCCGATCGAATTTTGGAAAATTCAATCAACTTTGAATGTAAATATCACAATGATGGGATCATAATAGTGTTGCAAATGTAGATGTCTACACTAGATGAAGAATGTAGATTCTTCAATAGTTTTTGTCTAGCTAAGAAACTTTCTTCATAAAGATCGATTCTATATGAAGATAGACAATCTAATCTACACAAAGATTATTTCTACATAAAGATTCTGTCTACATAAAGATTCGATGTAGATGTCTACAATTCTACATTTTTTCCAGGTCTACATCAGAGAAGAATGTAGAATTGTAGACATCTACATCGAATCTTTATGTAGACAGATTCTTTATGTAGAAATAATCTTTGTGCAGATTAGATTTTCTATCTTCATGTAGAATCGATCTTTATGAAGAAATTTCTGTCTCAGAATTTATCTGATCTAGACAAATGGCCAGAATGCAACACTGGATCATATTAATCATCATATGAATGACAGATTTAGAGAGATTTACTTTTAAACTTATGATTGATTTAATTTTGAAATTTTCCACAAATTATGATTGTATTTTAAAGTCTTGTAAACCAGTTTTCTATTGATTTGTTACTTTATATAACAAAAACTATGTATGGCTTAGCTATCAAAAGAGATCTGGACATTTTTAAATCATTAAAAAGGTGGAAAATTTAAAAAAACGTTTTTGGTGTGAATTTGTAAACAACACCCCCCCCCCCCCCCCCTAAAATGCGAACGTAATAAGTGAACCCCGTAATAAGTGAAGCCCCAAAGCAGATAACAGATTTCATGTAGCGACTTTTCTTTATTCATACTCAATAATATGATTGACATAAGATTTTTTAACTTTTTTTTTTGTATAAAAAAATATAGATATATCCACAATTGTTAAAGATTTCTGGTATATAGTACATGTTAATACATTAAATATATTTATTGGTAATTTTATAATCATTTCAATCATTCATGATTCAGCACTAGTCATAGTCCATTCTTAGCTTCAAACACATTCTTTACATTCTCAGTTGAAACATTTTTAAGAGCGCTTGTTATCTTCTCGAGATTATTCTCATTGTATGCCTGACCGATTAAGCTTGATACGATTGGCATGACTTCACCCTTAAAGTTGAGGTCAATTTTTTGGATCAAACCCTGTGAATAAATTAGAAAGTTTGTCATTAGTTATTGATTTGATTGTGTAACTTTAAAAAGAGCTTTCACACCTTTTCAACATCCACAACAACTTTCATGTTATGACACTCGATTCCTGATTTAAATTCAATTTTTGTCTCAACAGCAAACTTTGGTGTCTTTCCATAGATCCAATCCCATGATGCAAAATTTTCACGCAATTCATTTAATCCAGGGAACCACTTTTCAGTCGGATTAATCAACTGAAAGCCTCTTTGTTGCATTACATACTCACGACCACCATCAAATAGCTTATCGGGCGTTGTACGAAGAAATTCATACCCAATTGCTGTTAATAACGACTGTACATTCACATTCTTATTTACGTCAGCTAAATTCTTAATTGGAGAGGGTACTGATGCAGTCGCTTTACTTATTATTTCTTCCTATAATGACACAAACACAAAAAAAATGCTTAGAAGTAGTTTTAAATTGATGAGACAGCACAGACGTGATTACATGTGACTGACTTAAAAAGCTTATTTAAAAAATAACGAACAAAAAATATTAAAAAAATAACGGTCAAAATTACAGAATGAAAAGCTTTAAATGCTAGAAAAATGCACTTAAAATAGACTAGACAAATCAAAGCATATCATTGCCTGGCAACACATAGAAACAATTTTCGTTTGAAGGCATCAAGAAGAAAAATGATTTTATGTTATCAGCTACTGATACGCAAGAAACCTTTCAACCTGTTCGTTGACCTATTTTTATTAATTAGTAAACACTGATAAATAAAACAAGTCTAAATATGTTTTTCCTTCGTTATGACTGACTGAAACAATAATAAATAAATAAATAGTTTGCGCATTCCGGATCACATCTGTTTTATAAAACTATATAAAGAGCATATTACCTTTCCAGTCCTCTTCAGTGCACCTCTCAAATGATCTTTGTTACAGTCAACGAGCAATGTACAATGATGATAAGCATTTGGACGACCTAGCTTTGCTGCTGTTCCGGATATCTAATTAGGAAGAAAACATAAGAAGAAGATACATTAATGATAAGAGTATGTAGAGCAGTTTTGTAATCATAAATGTGCTTATTGTTATGTCGTGACTATAATAATGAGGTCAATGAATCGTGACTCTCTATTGCTTTGGATACAAGCAGAAAATAGATCTTTAATAAATATAGGAAGAAGGACGATCGTATGTTCACATTTTATAATTAGGGCAGTTCTATAATAAGAAATTTCTCAAAAACAAATTTATTTTTGGATATTGGAACATTTTTTGCGGAAGTGATGCCTTGCTGCTCTCAATTTGGCTGTAAATATAACAATCATTTATAATTCGAAAATTTAACGGGCTTCAGAAGTTTGAATTGAACTTAAAAGTTTCAAAAATTTGAATAAATTAAAGCTGTTGAAAAATTTCTAGCGGTTTTCAAAATTGATTAAAATTCAATCCAGAAATGTAAAGGCTTTCAAAACTTAAAACTGAACTGAGGCAAAGTGCTTCGAGTAAGAAGATGATTTAAAAAAAGAGTCAGTAATCAAGATAAAGTTGTTTTGATCAACCGCGTGTTGTTCTATTTACAAAATGACATAACGCACACGACCTAGCAACAATTAGTCAGGCAGCAACTAAGTGATCGGTACAATAATAAAGAAAATAGGGCAACTTAAAATATCGCTGATTCTACACATTTTTGTCTTATAGAGTAGCTGCTGCTAAGCTACTACTTGTTTATTGAGATAGGAAATTTCCATTGAACGCTATTTTAAAGTGATGTAAAAAATACATTGTATAGAGGCATAGATATATGAAGAGAAACAATAAGCGAGAACTGGATTTTTCATTGACATCAACGATGCACGATATGTTGTCGTGCTTTTTTCACAGCTGGTTGTGTATAAAAATTTTAAAATTCATTTAAATACATATAAAAATTGTTTTTCATTAATCGCAGCCTGACTGCAGAGAGCGAGAAGACATACATTGTTGCGTTTCAAGTACTTTAACTATTTTTTTTTATGTGTAGTACTTGTGTAGTATAAATAGAAGTCGGCAGACGGTTTATTGGACTTTGTAACTTACTTTTTTTCCATGAAGTAAGATATCATCGCGTTCCGATATCTCAGTATCAATGCCATATTCACGATAAATGCCTCTCGAAATTAGATTCAAATTATATTTTCGGTCGTATCGATTGCGAGGCGTAAAGAAAGTGCAGTTAAGATTATTGCGATCATGATAAACAGTTCCTCCACCACTATTTCTTCTTGCCAATTCAATGCCAGCTGCTTTCAATGCTTTCTCGTTTGATTCACTGAACGGATTTTGATGTCTTCCGACAACGACACATGGATTATTGACCCAGAGCATTAAAATGTGATGACTTGAAAGATCATAATTACGATAAATCCAATCTTCTATGGCCAAATTGGTGAAAATATCATACGATTGAGAGATAAAGACTGACTTTTTGATCGGTTCATTCTCCTTAGATGCATTTGTAGTCGTAGAAGTAGAGCCAGTTGTCGTCGATGAGAAAAACTTATTACTGCCGATTGCACGCAAATTATTGCGGTACGTGCCAGTTATAATGATCCCGAGCAATCCTCTCGTTTGTTTTGCAAAACTCATGGAGTTCATCATTTTTTATTTCACTTTATATTTTTCAAACTTTTTTTTTTGGTAATCAGTACACTTAATATATTTATTATATGGCTATACACAAGCACTCTGTATCACAAATATGCCTTCTTTTTAATCTTGTTTTCAAATTTCTTTAATTATAAAAATAGGTATTGTGGCAGTTTCTCTCTTTCTCACTTATTTATGTCTATTAATAGATGTTAGTTCTTTTTTGCACTATAAATCTGTTTGACTAGAACTCACACTTGTCAAATTATTTAAAATAAATAGTTGAAATGTTCCGTAGATTTTGAGAATAAGATACAGAGATAATTATGTGTCAGTTGTGTCTGATGAAGCCAATTATTTGTCGCAGAAGACTTGGATATTTCTTTTTTCATTATATTCCTCCTATATCCAGTTGTGAAATGTCCAAAAAAATTACATAAAATTTATTAAATTAAAAATCACAAAAATTTAAAATCGTTTTTTCAGCGCGTGTTAGATCTTTTCTGTACAGCTTGCACGAGACGAATAAAATTCATTCCAGCTTAACATTATTTTTTATACAGCACAAATACACAAAGAAGAAAAACTTATGAGAATATTAACTTTTTCAGCTCCAGGCCTAGACACTTGAACTCTTTTATACATAGTTGCATGTATTTCTTTCCATTCTATTTGTTCATTCATAAGCTACAGCTCCAGGAACATAAAATAATAATCATGAGAATTTGAAATTTATAGCGGATCAAATTATTTTGAATTTATCCTTCGTTAAGTTTTTAAAAGCTTCGTTGAGTTTAACGGTTTTCAAAAAATTATTATATTCACACCGTTTTCACGTGTGAATCTATTGGTTTTGTTCAGATTGAAAATTCAGTTTTTCGCATTTTGTGAGAAAACAAAGCAAAATTGGTTATAAAAAGGCAAGAAGAAAAGTTTGTGCCTGAAATTTTACATCATTTTCAAAAAACAGATTTCAAATTGGTTGTGGCATTGCTGAGAAAATCGCAAAATACGCTTTCTGTAAGCAAACAAGCAAGCAAGCAAGCAAGTTAATCAGCAAGAAATCTCAATAACGAGACATCGTAGAGACTTCTAGTTTTTTACATTTGATCCGTACTGCTCTATAGAAGAGCTGTATTGTTTTTGGGCAAGGTAGGAACAGCCGTTGCTTCAGAAATGGCAAAAAACTTTCCTTTCTTACGAATTTTTTAAAACAAAAGTTGACTGTGATTTTTATAAAATTCAACTTTGGATGAAAATTTTTTTTAAAAAACTTTTAAAGAATATTTGGCATATTCGTCAAGCTTTATACCTTCAAACCAGAGGTCGAAGCGAACTTGGTTCGCCAAGTTCGCTTCGCTAAAAATTCAACTTGCCAAAGTCGAACTTTAGCGAGAAAAATTTTTTTCTATTCGCCTTAGCGAACCTATAGCGAACTCAATTTTATTTTTTTCGCTTTAGCGAACTATTAGCGAACTTAATTTTTCAAAGTTCGCTATAGCGAACTATTGGCGAACTATAATTTTTTGCAATTTTGTATGAAATTACATACTTCACAAACGCAATCAGACATCTCTTTACATGAAGCCAAAAAATTTTTTTCTAGTTCGCCAATAGTTCGCTATAGCGAACTTTGAAAAATTAAGTTCGCTAATAGTTCGCTAAAGCGAAAAAAATAAAATTGAGTTCGCTATAGGTCGCTAAGGCGAAAAGAAAAAAAAAATTTCTCGCTACAGGTCGACTTTAGCAAGTTGAATTTTTAGCGAAGCGAACTCGCTAAAAACTCGCTTCGCTATGCTCGCTTCGACCTCTGCTTCAAACTTATGCTGAGCGTAGCTCAGCTGACTCGATAGCTTTATATCTTCAAACTTATGCTGAGCGTAGCTCAGCTTACGCGATAGCTTTATAACTTCAACTTATGCTGAGCGAAGCTCCACTGCCTCTCTAGCTTCATATCTTCAAACTTATGCTGAGCGTAGCTCAGCTGACACTCTAGCTTTATATCTTCAAACTGATGCTGAGCGTAGCTCAGCTTACGCGATAGCTTTATAACTTCAAACTTATGCTGAGCGAAGCTCAGCTGCCTCTCTAGCTTCATATCTTCAAACTTATGCTGAGCGTAGCTCAGCTGACACTCTAGCTTTATATCTTCAAACTTATGCTGAGCGTAGCTCAGCTTACGCGATAGCTTTATATCTTCAAACTTATGCTGAGCGTAGCTCAGCTTACGCGATAGCTTTATAACTTCAACTTATGCTGAGCGAAGCTCCACTGCCTCTCTAGCTTCATATCTTCAAACTTATGCTGAGCGTAGCTCAGCTGACACTCTAGCTTTATATCTTCAAACTTATGCTGAGCGTAGCTCAGCTTACGCGATAGCTTTATAACTTCAAACTTATGCTGAGCGAAGCTCAGCTGCCTCTCTAGCCTCATATCTTCAAACTTATGCTGAGCGTAGCTCAGCTTACGCGATAGCTTTATAACTTCAAACTTATGCTGAGCGAAGCTCAGCTGCCTCTCTAGCTTCATATCTTCAAACTTATGCTGAGCGTAGCTCAGCTTACGCGATAGCTTTATAACTTCAAACTTATGCTGAGCGAAGCTCAGCTGCCTCTCTAGCTTCATATCTTCAAACTTATGCTGAGCGTAGCTCAGCTGACACTCTAGCTTTATATCTTCAAACTTATGCTGAGCGTAGCTCAGCTTACGCGATAGCTTTATAACTTCAAACTTATGCTGAGCGAAGCTCAGCTGCCTCTCTAGCTTCATATCTTCAAACTTATGCTGAGCGTAGCTCAGCTTACGCGATAGCTTTATAACTTCAAACGTATGCTGAGCCAAGCTTAGTTGACTTATCAAGCTTCATACCTCCATACTACTGATGGGCAAATCTTGGTATATCCATAAGACTTATGATAGTACGGTGTGAATATAATCCGCATTGGGTTTCTACCCGATACACTAGTTTTCCGATGGATCTAGTAAGATCCAGTTTGGCTGAATACATCATAAAGCAGTGTCTAAGCCTGAATTTCCTTAATCTCTTGTCAGAATATTCGAATGTTTACAAATATTATGTTCGAATTTCTATGATTAAATTAAGTCTTCAACTTCCAGGTTCAGTTTCGAAAATTCGAAAACAAAAGTTTTGTAGAATATTAAAAAGAATTTTCACAAAATATAAAAATCAACTTTTAACTCCATTGAACAGCGTTAATTAAGCTAAAAATGTCTTTGCAAAACTTCTTCTTTGGCGATCTTGAGGAAGATCCAATATTTGGGCAAGTATCTTTATGATTAAGTTGAACATTTCAACATAATAAAAAGTTGACATAAAATCATATCAAAATCATTATTATTTACGTCTCATAAAGTATTTCACATTTCAAAGTTATGTCCTTGAGCATAAAACATTTGAATAAACAACAATTTTTAATTATAAAATATTTGCAGACATCAAATGCGCCAGATGAGACAAATCACAAATAGTCTGTTCAGTCATGATCCATTTAATATGTTTGGAATGGGTGGTATTGGTGGAAATATGGGTTTAATGCCTGCTGCACGATTTGCTCCAATGCCAACAATGAATCGGCTTCTAGCATCGCCTTTTCAAATGGGTCATCCATCATCATCATCTTACAGTACGAGTAGCAGTGTATTTTGTATGTCAAGTGATGGAAGTGGTCAGCCACAAGTTTATAAAGAGACTAGTTCTATAAGAACAGGACCAGATGGTGTTAAAGAAACACGAAGAACTGTCGAAGACTCAACATCAGGTACACGAAAAATGGCTATTGGGCATCATATTGGAGAACGTTCTAGAATTCTTGAAAAGGAACAGAATGTAAGAACGGGACAGAGAGAAGAACGAGAAGAGCTTATTAATCTAGAAGATTCTGAAACTGAAGATTTTGAAAGAGATTTTGAGCAAAAAGCTCGCTCAAACTACTCAAATCGTCGTCATCATTTACAAATAGAAGAAATTGGAACTGAGCCATTGCCAGCTATACAATCGTAAGTATCACTTTTTATTTATATTGCAATAAAGTTAAATTTAATGAGATGAATTCCTTTCATAAAACTTTATATACAGCGTTGACGACTATCATCGTAATAGAGTATCTTCTCCACGACGGGCAATTAGATCATCTCCACTTGCACTTCCAACAGCCTCGTCTAGGTCGTCTCACAATGAATCAAGGTAGTCATTAATCTTCTTTCCTTTTTTTATGCCATTCTATGCAGTCAAACTCACCCTCTGTAAAACTAAAAAATGACATAACTATTATCTCATAATTCACAGTCTTCTACACCCTCATCCACATCCACATCCATATTCTTCAACCACAAGTTCACGTAAGCATCAAATGAAGAACAGTAACAGCAGTAGTAGTAGCAGCAGCAGCAGTCGTAAGATAAAAGGCCATCTCAATCATCATTAAGCCTCTTAAATTTGCGGGTTGTTTTTGCCTAAAAAAAGCGTCGATGTCTCAATTAAAGTAAGTACGATAAAAATTGAAAATGGGGCGAGAGAGAGTGAGAGAGAATTAATTATTAATTACTTAAGATATCATTTTTTTCTTTATTTTTTTACTTTAAAAATTATAAGGGATTATGTTGTGCGAGAGATGAAAAAGCGAAAATAAAAAAGAGCTTTTTAAGAAAATCTTAATTACAAAATGAATTATGCAGAAGGGAGTATGTGTTGACATAGTTTCATCAAAAATTACGATGAAATTGCTTTAGGGAATATTTCTGATTTTTTCATGTTTGATTTTAATCCTTAAATATTTTATTATGTTCTGTATAGGCATATTTTTATCTCTCGTCTTCATTGAGCTTCTTTTTCTTCTTGGTCTTAAACTTATATATATGGCACTTTTTAAACATAAATTTGATGTATATTATAATTATTATGCTCAAGGTGTGTAAATTTTGGGAGAATTTAAGAAGTTTTTTGACAACTATTGTCAAGATTATAATTTTTTCTAACGTATAAATAAAATTTGAAATTTATGTTAACAAGAATTTAAGTTCAATAATTTAAAATCCAAAAATCAGTTAAAAATTCAAAACCAAAAAACGGTAAAGTTCAAAAATTTGAATTCCAAAAATCCGATAAAGTTCAAAATTTTGAATTTAAAAAAATCCGTTAAAAAAAAGCTTCTCCAAGAAATTTTCAAATGTAAACCACCTTGTTTAATCCTTAAACAATTACTTTTGTTTTAAAATTAAACAAATATTTTTCATTAAGAGAAATATGTTAATTTTTTTATGTTAGGTAATTAATTAATACAAAATTGTGTGAGATAATTTTTTTCTTTGAATAATAAAATCTAAATTACAAAGAATTTTATACATAGACATTTTACTCCTTATAATTAGTCGTCTGTAATTTAAATATACATTTATTACTGCTCATGACAAATTCATTCGTCCCTCGAGATCAGAGAAGAATAAGAGAAATATTTCATCATTTCACACTAAAAGCGTTGAGTCGGAAGGATGTTGAAGTATTTTTGAATGAGCTTTCTTTTTGTCATCGCTAATGGTTGCTCGTATTGATATTCCTGATGATATTTTTAACGAGATCTGAACTACTTTTCTTATCCATTCACTCTAAAGAGAAATTTCCATTTTTTATGGAATGGAAAATCACCAGGAATTGATATCGTTGGTTTATGATGAATGGAGCTGAGAATAAGTGTTCTAAACCTTTTGCATATTCAATGTTCAAAGAAGCTCCATCAAAAAGCTTCATTTAAGCTCTCACTCATGAACAAACCCCATTTTCTTGTCATATAAAAATGAAACGTTCCTTATAAGAAACTTTAGACATTGCCATAGATCATTATAGCAACTATCCATACATTGAACAAGAATACGTGCATATTATAAGTGATAACAGCTATGACAGGATATAATATACTTGTTTCACTCAATCGAATAATTCAGCTCACAGTAAGGATTAAGAAAGTCTTCTTCTTGACTCAAAAAAGCACTCTACGTTCACAATTGCTTTACAAACAAAGATATTGCTATCAGTGACTGCTTAGAGCAGTCTTATAATTAAGATCTGCATTAGATCAAATGATTTATGGAAATTTTTTACGCCATCTCCCATTTATCCCTCGAAGATGATCACAGGCGTAAAGCATGTAGCAACAAAGACAATGGTATCTATTCCATTATAAAATACTTTCCAAGTTTTTTAATAATATTCATCATATTTTGTCCTCTAGCAAGAAATTAAGACCCCTTTTTTATTACAACCAAAAAGTTTTTAACAAAACCCAAAAATACTCAGGTTTTGCTCGTCTTTCAATTTTTTTCAATATTCCATTTTTTTCTTCTCTGCCTCTCTTTTTTCCTAGCAATAAGACCGAGTAAGCCGACCCAATTAATTCAGTTTTTCCTAATAAAGTTGAAAACTCAGGAAAATTTAATCAAAAAATTTTTCATAACCCAAAATATCTTTTTTGTTGGCGTCTTCTCCTATTTCTTTCGTTCATTTTTAAATAATAAAATTACATGTTTGTTGTGTTTGTGGAACTAGAAAGAAGAGTCTCTAAAAATATGAGCACGATGAGAAATCAAAAATGCGGAAAATCTTTCACATTATTTCATACGTTTAATATTATACTATCCTCTCAAGTGTAAAATCGTCCACAACTTATCCATTGAGATGAAGGACATAAAAACATACCAAAAGATTGAACAAAGTTTTAGAGTCATGCAGTTTAAAAAATTATTTGTTTTTAACGACTTTTTAAAAATTTAAAAGTAAAATTGTTCAGTAAACCAAAAGTTCATTTCATTGCAGTTCATAAGAATTCAAATTTCAAAATTCCGTTGAAAAATGACATGCTTACTTAATCGTGAATTTCCACATGAAAAAGTATCCCTTGCTATCTGCAGTCAATGCGGATAATAAATCACAATGACTACAAGAATGTGTGCTAAAAGAAAGGACAAGAAGGGAATGAAAGATGTAAAAAAAAGAGTCGAGAAGGACCACATCACATAAGTAGATTATTTGATGATATGATTTGGTCAACGGAATGGCAAGAGAAACTAAACCGCAATATATCTTATGCCAAAAAAGCACCTTTAATGTGAGGGAGAGGAATACAATAAAAACAAATCATTTCTGTTCGTTGAACGCTTCGGTAGCTACAATCAATTTCTTCTTCTATGTAAGCAAATATAATTGAGTTTAGTACTTCTTCTTGTGGTTTTTGTCATATCCTTCTCTTTTAATTTTTTATTTGACAACTTTTCCTAAATTGGATCAACAATCAAAATCTTCAATTAACACTATATTCATTATTTTCGATGATTAATTAAATTATCTATTGATGATTTTCGGTTAAATCTTCGAAGCTATACTGTTTATTGCTAAATACAGGGATTTGAGTTCGATAATTCTCTGCTAATTAATTAAATTAAATCTGATTCAGTAGATTGAGATTTCTCAATTTGAAGTTCTTGTCTGTTCATCTTCTTCCGATCGACCAAGAATGAAGCAAGGCAAGAGGAAATTAAGATTAAAATGAAATTTTATTTGGGGAAGTCTTTAATACCAAGCAATTTGTGAATGGCTTTTCTTGCTATTGTCAAATTTAATTTGAATTTTAGTAAGCAATAATCGGTGTCTTTTGTTCTTTTGACAAATTTTGAGTTCCCGAGGCTTTCTTTTTTCAGATATTTAATGATTTTTAAGGCTATTTATCAATTAAATGGGTTTTAAGATCTGAACGACTTCTTATTTATGGCATATCCACACATCAATGAACTTACAGCATACGTTAAATCACTTCCCTCAAAGTTCCATTAGCAAAAAAAAAGTATTAAGCCATTAAGCAAGCAAGCAGTGAACTCGGAATATAATTCCAAAAAGTTCTGTTCAAAAGAAGCGCATGAAAAATGGCATAAAAGTCCCAACGTAAAGGTAATAGGCATAAGTATATAACTTCAGTAGGATATTTGAATTAAAGCATCTCGAATAATAATGTGAAAAACCATTAAAGAAATCAGAGGATGAAAATGAACAAAAGGAAAATAATCCGGTTCCTTCTCTCATTTTTCTTTCTTTTATATCCCATTCATAAAAATCAGTATTGTGAGTTCCGTGCAGAGAAACGCGAAAGGATAATTATTATGGCTGTATTGGTACATTATAGCATTTCAGCTCGGTTCTTTTTTTTATATTCTCACAGGCAAAAAAGCAGCAAGAAGAAATATTTCCCGGAGCTCTTTTTTTTTGAATATTTCTTTTCGCTATAGCTATTTGTATGTACGTATGTATGTATACAGACACAAATAATTCGTAGCTAAGGTACGCTTAACAAAATAACATGAAATTATTCCTACCAAAGATATAAATCTCATGATAGAATATATTTAATATTTAATAATTGCATAGATATGGAAGATTCTTAGTCGACTATACCGAAAAAAATAATAATAAGGATGTTTGGGAGTCGATCGTAAATGACGTCTGTTTATAAATTGAATTTTTTAGATCTGGTATCTATAAGAATCCTGGTCACAGCTCCTAGTAGCAAATACATAACCTAGAATAAACTTCACCTTGCTACCAAATTGTGTCGCAGTCTCTGCCAGGCAATTAAATCCTAATTCGAGGTGTTTGAAGTTGATCAGGAGGTATAAATCATGAGAAACGGACAAAAATTGAATAAATTATGATTAATCAGCTCCACAAGCAGTTAAGTGCCTTGCTGGTCGAATGGGTAAGGCGCTTGGCTCAAATTTGGGATGGTAACTCGAAGATCGTCGGTTCGAATCCAGCCATTTCCAAATTTGTTCTTTTTCGGAAGTTTAGATACTTCGACTGCTTAATGTACGAGATCAAGCCATAATTGGGCATTTGGGCAACGTTGGATTAAGGAACGGGTCAGGAACTTGAAGTGTAGCGGGAGAAGTAGGAACGAGAGCTACAAGATTACCCACGAATGGAATATTGTTAGAACGGACCTGAAAAGTATCACGTCACGCCCACAAAAGATCGAAACGAGAGCCTTAGTTTATTTGAAACCTAGATATGAAGATTAGAAGTTTGATCCTACATAATACTAATTCATATGTAAACAAATACAAAAGTGTAAAATGTGAATTATTTCTGGACAGTATGTCGTCAATAAATGCAATAAAGTGCAATTAAAATGAAAAAAAAAAAAAAAAAAAAAAAAAAAAAAAAAAACATTCTTGGAAATCGATTTTCAAGCATCAAGTCTGATATTTTATCAAATACTATATTACTGGAACTAGTAAAAAAGCAAAGCTAACAACCTTATCCATCACGTAATACCCAAACAGCTTCTTAGGATGTTTAAGAGAGACGAAAATATTTCTTTGATGAATTATGCTCTGTTGGTTATGAGTATCGAGATATCTGGCGTGCGTTCATTCATTAATGAAAATTGTTATCATGATAATTTTTCCATTAGCTTTTACATCTTGCTCTTATGTCTTATATGTATATGCAAACATAAATTTTCGACATAAAGATGTATATCAAGAAGTTTTGTGTATTTGTGCCTCCTTATTTCTATTTCATTCATTTCATCCCCCCATCCCAACCCCATTGTCCCATGCCACAATTATAATATAATTTTTCATGCATCGCTGTAATGTTTATACGCAAAATTTATTCAACAACTGTTGTTTCAAGTAATTAGTATTA